AGTGAGCTCAGTTTCAATAAGTGAAATCATGACAGAGGAGATAACCCCTGCCCACCAAGCCTGGATTCATAGGGTTGCCAGTTCTAAATTGGGAAATTCCTGGAGATTTGGGGGTGGAGTCTGGGGAGGACAGGGACCTCAGTGGGGTACAATGCTATAGAGTCCACCCTCCAAAGCAACCGTTTTCTCTAGGGGAACTGATCTCTGTAGTCTGGAGCTGAGCTATAATTCTGGGAGATCCTTCAATCCCACACGGAAGCTGGCATCCCTAAGATTGTGCCAGGCTTAAATTGGTTCTCAAGCCTACTCCCCTATTTGCATGCAATTCTGGGCTTCTTATTCTCTGATCCAAGCACTAACATTAATGATATTTAAGTAGCTCTGCATCCACAAATAAACTTGGATGGGAAGTACTGGTTTGCATTTAGGGTGGGTTTAGACCCAGCCAGTGGCAAAGTGGGAGCAATAGACACCCATCTGATCCAGTTTGCCAACTGACTCCTGGGTTGCCCGGGGAGTCAGGACTCTCCAAGGACCTCAGAGATCTCATATGCCTTAATGTCTGTGTAGGGAGGACTAAAGCAACCCAGTGACATGTTTTGTTGTTTTGTCCTTTGCCGTCCAGACACATCTGACTTATGGCGACCTCAGTAGGGTTTTAAAGGTAAGAGACATTCAGAGGTGGTTTGCCATCGCCTGCCTCCACGTCACAACCCTGGTATTCCTTGGAGGTCTCCCATCCATTTACTAGCTGGGGCAGACACAGCTTCGTTTCCGAGGTCCGACAAGATCAGGCTAGCCTGGGCTATCCGTGTCAGGGCAGTGACATGTTTAGCGGCATGCCATTCAGAGGTGAGCTCCAGGGACCTCCCCCCATCACACAGTACAGCCACCTGAGGAAGTAGAAGGACCTGAACCAAAGCTTCTCCTTCCTTCAGCCACCGGTTGGCCTGTGATGGAGAGGAAAGGCTGAGGTCAATGGTATAAGAAAGCTGCTTGAAGTGGTGTGTGTCCTGCTGTGTACAGTGGCCCTTCCCTGCAACTTTGGCCATTGATAGGGAGCCCAATGGGCTACTGGCTGCTGTAGGCCCTTGGAATGCATCATAGCCTTCTGCCTGGGTGGTTGAAACCAGGTTTGGCTGGAGATCTGTGTCCAGTGAGGGCTGAAAGCAGCTTAAAAGAAAAACAAGGCTGGCAAAGAGCTGGTTTAGGCCTCCTCGGTGGGTGCCCATGATGCTTTCAGACTATGCCAGCCTCTCCATGAACTTAGTTCAAGGCCCCCATAAGACTGATGTAGCCTGCATGCTTGTAATTACATACAATGCGCTAAAAGGCTTTTTAAGTCCCCTGTGCAATCTCCTCCAAAGCAAGCCATCCAAAAGCTGCCCCTAACTATTCACCATTCTTAGGGTTGCCAGTCTCCAGGTGGTGGAATTCCAAAAACAATATCTGCGACAAAACAAATGAAGAGTCATTAAAGATAAGTTGCAAAAACATTTACTGTAATTCTGTAGAAATTTTCCTTCTATTATCGCTCACACGCAACAAACACTGTGCAATGTAAACAATTCATTTCACAATATTTGTTTTATCTGAGCGTGTAGCAATCCCAATTCTTATCAATTACTACTTATCAACTCTTGAAGGACGCATTCCATGTTGACTCTCTAATAACAGAACCCAAGGTCTTCACCATGTGAAAGCAAATATTGTGAAATGAATTGTTTACATTGTGCAGTATTTGTTGCGTGTGAGTGATGATAATAGAAGAAAATTTTCTACAGAATGACTACAGTAAATGTTTTTGCAACTTATCTTTATCGACTCTTCGTTATTTTTGTCACGGATATTGTTTTTGGAATTCCACTTCCTCCCGTGATCTCTCATGTTTGGTCTCCAGGTGGTGGCTGGAGATCTCCCGGGATTACATCTGGTCTCCAGGTGAGAGAGATGAGATCCCCTGGAGAGAATAGACACTTTGGAAGGTGGACTCGATGGCATTATACCCCACTGAGATCCCTCCCCTTCCCAATCCCTGCCTTCCCCAGAGTCCACATCCCAAATCTCCTAAAATTGCACAACCCAGAGCTGGTAACCCTAACCATTCAGTAGAAGAGAAAGTATGAAGCTGTGGTTTTCAACTGGTGTTCTAACCTGAAGTTCCCTTGGTGTTTGTTTTTTTTTTTAACTAAAAGTCTGGTCACAAACAGGACAAATCCTCCCCAATAAAATTGTTTGCCTGTGACTACCAAATCTTCCCCTGAAATTAGAGTTGCTAACTGGCCTGGGGGGGGGGGGGTTGCTCTGGTTTTGATCTGCAAAAATCATGCCATGGAGATCATCTACTAACATCAGTAAATGGGACAACTACCCATTAGCATGTCTTTTTGGCGACCAGGGCTTGCATTTTCACTGCGCTTCCGCAGATGCGGTTTTCATTCTGTTTCTCTTTTAAGTTGCTGATTAAGAAGAAGAAGAAGAGATTGGGTTTATACCCCGCCCTTCACTACCCAAGGGAGTCTCAGAGTGGCTTACAAACTCCTTTCCCTTCCCCTCCCCACAACAGACACCTTGTGAGATAGGTGGGGCTGAGAGAGCTCTTGACAGAAACTGCTCTTTTTCAAGAACAGCTCTTGTCAGAACTACGGCTTGCCCAACGTCATCCAGCCAGGTGCAAGTGGAGGAGTGGGGAATCAAACCCGGTTCTCCCAGATTAGAGTCCGCGCACTTAACCACTACACCAAACTGGCTCTCCTTTTGGGTTCTAACCTTTGCCAACCACTTTCTGAATTCCTTTATTAAAAAGCAATGCATAAGTCTCTTTTAAGTAAATAAATACATAGTGTTGGATAAAATTTTGAAAGGCAGAATGGAACTTTCCTGCCTCCCCCATCCCACTGATCTCCTGGAAATGCTGCTCCTGGGGGTAGGGGGCCCTGAGAAATAAGATGCGGGAGCCCCTCCAACCCAGGGCCGGCTTAAAGAGGCGGCAGCCCTACCTGCAGGTCCAATGGCAGAAGCTGGGTTGCCAAATCCAGCCTGGGATGTTCCTAGAGATTTTTTTTGGGGGGGAGTGCCTGTGGATTTGGGGAAGGATTCCACCTAGAATCTATGCTGTACCATAGAGTCTGCCCTCTGAAGCTGCCCTTTTCTCCTGGGCAACTGATCTCTGTAGTCTGGATATCAGTTGTGATTTTATGAAAACTCCAGGCCCCATTTTGATAGTTGGCAGTCCTAGGTAGAAGTAGGGTTGCCAGCCTCCAGGTGGGGCCTGGGGATCTCCCACTTTTACAACTCATCTCCAGCTGACAGAGATCAGCTCCCCTGGAGAAAATGGCTGCTTTAGAAGGTAGACTCTATGGCATCATACCATGCTGAGGTCCCTCCCCTTCCCAAACCCCTCCTTCCCCAGGCTCCACCCCCAAAGTCTCCAGGTATTTTCCAACCCAGATCTGGCAACCCTTGGTAGAAGACTTTTTTTGGGGGTACCTTTCCACTTTTTTTAGTGGTTTTATCCCTGTGTCTTTAACCTCAGCCCAACAAAAGAAATTAAGCAGAATAAACACGTCTTATCATTTTCTCTCCACAACAGAAAAAGTTTTGCTTGCTAATTTTTTTTTAAATGGCATACTGCTGCTATAGACACAGGAGAAAAGCAGGGGCCAGCCTCTCTGGAGGTGCATTCCCACTGCATGAATGACAGTGCCTCAGTCGGTCTCTCTGGTTCAGCCTCGCTGCTTGAGGTCTTTCTTCAAGCAGAAGCACTCGGGTTTGAACCTGGGACTTTCTGATACGCTGTACCTCCGCGCCACAGGCCCTTCTAATCCTGGGTAAAATGTAGACCATCAGTGCAGCCAAAATGTGCCCATGCATTGCCATCAAGTCCCAACTGATTCATGGCAAACCCAGGAGGACCATGAGGTTTTCACAGCAAGAGATGAGTGAAGGTGGCTTGCCATTGCCTGCCCCAGTCTCCCTTGGTGGTCTCCCATCCAAGTATCAACCCTGCTTAGCTTCCAAGATCTGATGAGATCAAGCTAGCCTGGACATCTAGGTCAAGACCTATAATTAATTGTGTGCCATCAAAGTCACTGTTCCCTCTAAGCTGAGTTAGTGTGAGCTAGCTCACAGTTTTTTAGCCTCTGGCTCACACATTTTTGTCTCCGCTCAGGGAGGCTGGCTCCAGAGCAAGCTAATTTATGCAGCAGGCAAATCACTCGCTCACAGCTTTAATGCCAGTAGCTCACAAAGTAGAATTTTTGCTCACAAGACTCCACAGCTTAGAGGGAACATCACAGCTGTCACATCATGACCCCAGGACCATGGGGTTTTCAAGGCACGAGATGAGCAGAGGTGGTTTGCCATTGCCTTCCTCTGCATAGCAACTCTGATCTTATTTCATGGTCTCCCATGAAAAAGCTGCTCTGAGGCTCCTTTGGGTAGTGAAGGCTGGGGTACAAATCCAGTCTCTCTCTCTTCCATCCAACTACTGACTATGGCTGACCCTGTTTAGCTTCAGAGCTTTGAAGAGATCAGGCCAGGCTGAGCTACTAGGCTAATAAGCACTCAAAATATATAAGGCTGGATCCTACCAGCCGTCTGCTGATAGAGATGGGGCATTCTTTCCCAATTCTGAGTGCAGCCCCCTGCCATCTTTCCACTGTATTTCTTGCCCTATGTGGGTTCCCTGAAACCTGCTGTAGTCTTTTCCAGCTTCAAAGAAAAGAAAAAAAGCTACTGGGGGAATGGAAGGTAGGAATGATGTACTCCAGCCAGCAGAAAGCTGGTAGGAGGCAATGTCTCCTTGGGCAGATCTATAAATTAATTGATAGATATGAAGGCACTTTATGGGAACAGATGTGGGAAAAGTGGTCTAGAATGGACACTGGACAGCAACCCAAAGGTGCTGTGTACTCCTGTCCCAGGGATGGGTGTTTTCAGTAAATCACACAGCCACATACGGTCCCCAAAGGACGAAATTGTTCCCAGATGTTGCTGTTTATTTTTAATCTCCCTCCATCCTGTCCCCCCACCCCCCAGCTCAGTCGAGAGGCCCCTGGAAGATGAGACGGACGAACCCCTGCTGGCCCGTCAGCCAGGTGCCGCAGAAAGGGCAGGCAGCGTGGAAGGCGTGGGTGCCATGGGGCAGAGGGATCTGTGCCCAGTACTGCACAGTCTTGGCAGAGCAGACGTGGCCACAGGGGCAGAAGGCGTGGGTGGGGCGCCCGGCGTCCAGGTAGAGCCCCGCCTCGCAGCCCAGCCACAGAGGCACGTAGGGCCCAGAGCGCCGGCACATGGGGCACTCTCGTTCCAGGCCCCCTTTCTCCTTGCGGAAGCCCCAGTTGTGGAACCCATGGACGTGGCCGCAGTTGACATAGACCCATGGCTGCTTCTTCTCCACCACGCCCCTCTGTGCCAGGCTGGGAAATGCCAGCGTGCTAAAGCCCACTGGGCACTGGGGCCGGGCAGCGTTGATCTCCTGGCGCAGGGCCTCCAGCTGCTGCAGTGTCGGCGTGCGCAGGAGCCCCTCCGACGTCCGCCACAGGAGGGTGGCGCCACAGAGATCAATGAGTGAGCCGTCTTGGAGCACGTTGGACTCTGATTCCACCTGGCAGGAAGGAGAGAAAGAGGGAGTCAGAAAACACATCTGCTCCTGTCCTCTGGCAATGATGCTCTGCTATATTCGGAGGAGGGCCTGCCACGCTAACCGTGCGCTACCCTGTTGCTCCGTGTGCCTAGCAGGTTTGCTTACAGTGCAATTAGATTTGCAGTGCAATCCTAAGAACACTTTCCTGGGAGTAAACCCCACTGAGTAAGCTTCAGTTGGATTCTGAGTAGGCCTGCTTAGGATTGCTCTGTTTATATAGAGGCGCTTTCACACACACACTAAATAATGCACTTTCAATCCACTTTCAATGCACTTTACAACTGGATTTTACTGTGTAAAATTGCAAAATCCACTTGCAAATGGTCACGGAAGGGGATTGAAACTGCATTATTAAGCATGTATGAAAGCGCTCCTTAGGGCCGTGATCATACGCACAATTAGACCCGACATAGGCACAAATGCCAGGCGAATTTAAAGGGCACAATTCGACGACGACTGGGAAGCGCCCCACAGCCATTGGCAACCCGTTCTGCTTCACTGCAGAAGTGGAGTTAAAAGACACCGGGGGAAATCTGGTAGTAAACGGGTTGTGATGGGCCATGGACAGACTTTCCCATGTCTGATCGCTCCAGCGTGCGCTCATGGCGTCGGGATGGTCTGATCAGGCCATCCGGACTCCGTGCCATTATTTCCCCCCCCTTCGCAGTATACGCATCATCGCAAACTCCATAGGGAGCCCTCAGGGTGGAGGTGTGATTCACTGGCCCCACTGCTGGACCTCCTGATGGCACTGGTATTTCTGGCCACTGTGTGATACAGAGTGTTGGACTGGATGGGTCTTTGGCCTGATCCAACATTGGCATCTCTTATGTTCTTATGTTCTTACTGATTCCTCATTTAAGCGCATGGGAAACAAACAGCACAAAAAACCCAACTCATCCACAGTTGTGTCTTATCACACACTGACGGACTGCGCCCACAGCTTCAAAGGGAGGTGTGATTGTGCAACTGTGGGTCAAATTCCTCCGGCGGAAATAGCCTTCCTCCCCCCCCCTTTATCTGGCGTGTGACCGCACCCTAGGTGTGGCTGTGCCCTAGTGGTTAAGCAATTGCTCTGCATGCAGGAAACCCCAGCTTTTCTGTTTCAGACTATGTCAGTGTTGACATCTGATGTACCACTTAAACAATGGCAGAAAAATATGTCTAAATTTGTTTGGCAAGGGGAAAAAAAGCATATATCAAATGTAAGATTTTAAAAGATGTAAAAGAAAGAGGAGGACAGAGTTTACCTGATTTGAAATTATACTTTGCTGCCTGTCGCTTAGTTTGGATGAAAGATTGGTTGTTCTTGAAATCGACAGGTTATTAGAATTGGAAGGTCACAATTTGAGATTTGGGTACCATGGTTATTTGTGGTATGAAAAAACTAAGGTCAACGTGGACTTAAAAAAAAACACTACATTAGACGTGCATCTTGAGGATATGGGATATTTTAAAATCTAGGTTATGACCAAAAACACCTTTGTGGCTTTTGACACAAGAAGCATTTTATAGACGTGAAAGGTTAATTGAACATAAATGGTTGACTTATCGTGATATACAGGACTTCTCCCAGGGAGAGTGTAAAATGAAATCAGAGAAGACTTGTTGAGAGAAGGATACAATTGTCAATTTTTTATGCACAACTGTTAGAAAGATTTAAATTAGATAAAATATTGTCTGGGTTAGAAGAAATTAAGACTGTATTTGAAACTGAATTATGTACAAATGATAAACACATTATTGCTGTATAAACTTTTGCTGAAATATGAAACTGAGGAAGAACAGGTGAAAGAATGTATGACAAAATGGGCTAAGAATTTTGGATATAATATACAAAAGGAACAATGGGAAAGGATGTGGTTGAAGGGGCTTAAATTTACACTAAGTTCTAACCTTAAAAAGAACTTTTATAAAATGATGTACCATTGATATATGTCTCCAGATAAACTAGCTAAAATCTATAAAAATAGTTTGAATCAATGTTAGAAATGTGGTCTCAACATGAAGGGACATTTTGCCATATGTGGTGGACTTGTAACAAAGTCCCCCCCCCCCAAAGATATTTTTTTTAAAAAAAACCAGCAGCTTTTCCTTTAGGATTGATGGACAAACAATTGGAAAATAGCCATAGAACTTTGTTTTTACATATGATTATGGCAGAGTGAGATTATTATATGCACAGAAATGGAAAACTTTGATACTACCCCCAGTAGAAGAATGGTTGATGAAGATGCTAGAATTGGCAAGAATGGCTAAACTCACTTCTTTGGTTAGAGAAAAGACTATAGTTACATTTTTGCTTAACTGGAAACCTCTTATTGACTTTCTGCATGAAAGGGGGAAAAATAAAATTATGATATGGGGATTTGAAGATTAAGGAGAATTTTAGATAATATAAAAGTATGACGGTTTTGTTTTAATCTTGTTACAATTTAAGAGTAAGTAACCATAATATTAGACTAAGTATCAGCTTTGTAATTGTATCTGTCTTTGTCCTCAAGAAATACAAAAGTTTCATTGATATTGTCAATTTCTTTTTTCTCCCCCCCCTTTCTTTATTTCCCTGGTATTTTTATTGCTCATTTAAAAAATTCTAAAATAAAATTTAATTTTTTAAAATGACTTTATGTAGGTGTGGCTGTGCCCTGATGGTTGAGCAATTGCTCTGCAGGCAGGAAGGCCCAGGTTCAGCCACCAGCAGCTTCACTTAAAGGATTTTAAGGTTCAAACAATGTTACATTTTTTTTGCAACAAGTTGGGTCTGGGTTCTTGTGACCCAGCTTGCATTTTTTGCAGCTGTACAGTAGCTGCAGGGAGCCAATTGCTCAAGTGCTGCAAACGCCCAATTTGAATCGGGACAGTGCTGTGGTGGGGGAGGGGCTTCTATTTGGATGGGAGACCTTCAAGGAGTACCAGGGTTGTGACGCAAAGGCAGGCAATGGTAAGCCACCACTGAAGTTTCCTGCCTTGAAAACTCCATGGGGTTGCCATGTCAGCTATGACTTGACAGCATTTTCTACCACCAAGCCTCTATTAGAGGGACAGGAAATGGTTACAGATTTCCTATTCCTTGGCTCCATCATCAAACAAAAGGGAGACTGCAACCAAGAAATCAGAAGGAGGTGTACAAGATTATGCATGGGAAAGAGCAGGTAGAGAAAGAAGTACTTTTCTCCCTTTCTCACAATACAAGAACTTGTGGGCACTCGATGAAATTGTTGAGCAGTCAGGTTAGAACGGATAAAAGGAAGTACTTCTTCACCCAAAGAGTAATTAACACATGGAATTCACTGCTGCAGCAGGTGGCGGCGTCTACAAGTATGGATGGCTTCAGGAGGGTATTGGATAAGCATATGGAGCAGAGGTCCATCAGTGGCTATTAGCCACAAGGTATAGATAGGAACTCTCAGTCTGGGGCAAGGAATGCTCTGTATTCTTGGTGCGGGGGGGGGCAACAGTGGGAGGGCTTCTAATGTCCTGGTCCCACTGGTGGACCTCCTGATGGCACCTGGTATTTTTGGCCACTGTGTGTGTGACAGAGTGTTGGGCTGGATGGGCCACTGGCCTGATCCAACATTGGCTTCCCTTGTGTTCTTACGTAACAAGATTGAGACTGGGGAGGGCAGCCATGAAGAAGCCGGAAAAGATCCTTAAGTGTAAAGATGTGTCACTGGTGACCAAGATCAAGTTAATTCATGCCACACCATGTATGGGTGTGACAGCTGGACACTGGACAGTGAAAAAAGCTGACAGGAAGAGAGTTGATTCCTTTGAACTGGAGGAGAATTTTATGGATATTGTGGACTGCCAAAAACACAAATACGTGGGTTATTGATCAAATAAAGCTTGAACTCTCCCTAGAAGCTAAAATGACTAAACTGAGTGTTCCCTGGAAGCAGGGGTCATTTCGTAGAAAAAGAGCTAGGGGGACTCATTAGCATAACTCATTAGCATATGCCACACCCCCTGACATCACCTGAAGTGTGTCCTCCCCACAGCCGGCGGCGACCTCCAGCGGGCACCAGCAGGGAGCTCCAGGCCCCGCCCTCCCGCACCTCACCCGGGGGGATGGCGTCCCCCCCCCCAAATGACCCCTGCCTGGAAGGCCAGATACTGAAGCTGAAGCTCAAATACTTTGGCCACCAAATGAAAAGGGAGCACTCACTGGAGAAGACCCTGATGCTAGGAAAGACTGAAGGTCAAAGAAGGGGACGTCAAAGGAGGAGATGGTTAGACAGGTTTATCGAGGCAACAAACATGAAGTTGAGCAAACTCTGGAGGATGACAGATGACAGGAGGGCCTGGTGTGATGTGGTCCATGGGGTTGCGAAGAGTCGGACTCGACTGTGCGACTGAACAACAACAACAATTGTACTTTGGTCACATTATGAGAAGCCAGGAGGCACTGGAAAAGATAATAATGCTAGGAAAAGTTGAAGGCAGCAGGAAAAGAGGAAGACCCAACATGAGATGGATTGACTCAATCACGGAAGCCACAAGGGCCCTCAGTTTGCAAGACCTCAGCAAGGCTGTTGATGATAGCACATCATTAGTCAGAAGCGACTTGACAGCACTTAGCACAGACACAAAGCGACAGGGCATTTTTCTTAAGGCCTGCTGGGAACCCTATTGCAGATCCCTGTCTTAGGCCAGGCCTGGAACTCTTCCTCTCCCCCTGCAGGCTCAACTACTCAAGAGAAGATCTCCTGAATGGTAAAGGAAAATATATCTACAGCAGCAAGATGGAAATGGGGATTTAGACCAGGGCCACGGCACCAGGTGGATGCGGCAGGCTAAACCATTTCCCCCCACGTGCCCTTTTCCAATCTCAATTGCCTCTCCTTTTGGCGTCTATTTAAGGAAAACACATAGGTAACATATGGATACCCACCTCCCCCCAGAAAACAGGAGCTTGAGAGAAGGGGACATTTGCATTGGGGAGATGGTGAGAGGAAAATGATAGAATCCCCCAGCTCTCCCAGCTGCAGCTTACCTTTTAAAAGAACAGGGGAAATCCAATTATGGCCTTCAGGTAAGCCGGCAGACACGTGCACTGCAGACAGGCTGCTTTCTCAACAGATTCCCCTGAGACCCAGGACTGTTCAGAGCCAGATTTCATATCCCAAAACCTGAAGTGGCCAATGTTAGAGGAAGGGACTGGGGGGGGGGGTCTTTTTTATCTGAAACAGGCCCTCCTCCCACCACTTCCTTCCCCCTCCTCTTCCAACATACCAGCTTCCCCCGCTGCTGTGCAGAGCGACTGTCGCGCAAGGCATACACGTTCCCACACACAGAGATCTCGCGCCACACGCCCGGCGTGGAGTCCTCACTGAAGCCGCCATTGGGGTGCATCACCAGCACCCCATTTGTTGTCAGCCCATCCATCAGCCCGTCCGGAGTCCTCCACTTGGCCGCCCTCTCCTGCCAATGAAACCAGAGACTGGCATCACAGCACAGCTTGGGCAGGGGGTACAGGGGCGCAAGGGTTGTCGTCTGCCCCTATTTCTCCTGGATGTGGTAGGGGAAGGAGCACCATCCAATCCTAGTAATGTGAACAGAGTCGGGGGGGGGGATCAACTCTCCTATCTCTTTAAACGTCTATAAGTAGCAGACATTGGGGTGGAGGGGCCATTTGGACAGGAATGCAGCACTGACTAATACCACCAACCAATGTTCCCTCTAAGCTGTGGAGTCTTGTGAGCAAAAATTCTATTTCGTGAGCTACTGGTATTAATGTTGTGAGTCGGCGATTTGGCTACTACATACATTAGTTTGCTCTGGAGCCATCCTTCCTGAGCTAAGGCAAAAATGGGTCAGCCGGGGGCTAAAAAATGTGAGCTACCTCACACTAACTCAGCTTAGAGGGAACACTGCCCCCAACCCCACCCCCCTGTGTAAAATCTCTCTCTGGAGGTGCTATTTGCCAAGGTAGAGAGGCAGGGTGGTACTTTATTGTAAAGGGAGAAGTGACGTGACTCGTGAGATGCAGAAGATGAGGAGTCAGGGAGAGAGAAGAGTCTCTCCCTGCTGTGTACCAGAGGGAGAGGTTATCAGTGGCTCTGGGAAGGGTGTGAGGAGAGGAAGGGATGGAAGGAGGAGCAGACATCAGAAGCTCAAGGATGAGCCTATGAAGTCTGAGAAAACTGTGAGAAATCCAAGTGAAAATACAGCCATGGGAGATGCAGAACTGGATGAAGGGATAAAGTAGAGAGAGGGAAAACTGGGTACCATCAACATCTATGGTACTCAGTCCTTGACTCTAACTAGCCATTCCTGGCAACTAAAACCCCCCCCACCTATATGTAAGGCTTGAAGAAATCTGTTTCAGTGTATCTGAAGAAGTGTGCAGGCACATAAAAGCATATACCCCGAATTAAACTTTGTTGGTCTAAAAGGTGCCACTGCACTCAAACTTCGTTCTGTTGCAGGGGTGTCAAATATGAGGTCTGGGGGCCGGAACCGGCCTGTTCAGGCCCCTATGCAGGCCACGAGCAACCAGTCCAAGGGAGGGAACAGGAGATTGCTCGGGGGGGGGGAGTGGGTGGAGCCACTCCGATTGTGGCTTCAGCATGGCAGAACAGCCTCGTCTGCGGCAGTCAAGCAGTGTGTGTCTTGCCCAGTGCTGCACTGCTGGCTCTCCAGTCCACCAATATGAGTTTTCCTTTGCACCCCCCTCCCAGCCCATGAGGCCTTGCGGTGAGGATACAACAACTCAGAGCTTGCCAGCTGCTGTCCTTTATACAGTTTATATCTCCGCTATCTGGCATTACATTTTATGGCACACGTGGCCCCGCCCTGACAAAGTGACATTTATGCCAGATTCAGCTCTCATAACAGATGAGTTCGACACCTCTGGTCTATTGCTTCAGACCAACATGGCTACCCACCTGAATCTACCAATATAAATAAAAATATAACAATCATGGGCTGCGGTCACACGGAACATTAGCCACGCTACAGAGATGGAAGATAGGTGGATTTTCCGGGCGCGATCACACCACCACATCTGGGAAGCGTAGAGCTCCCATGGCGAACCCAAGGCTTCCCGCCGAAGATGTGGGGTAAAAAACTAGTACCTCCGAGGTACTAGTTTCCGGAAACCACGGGGCAAGGGCGGGTGCCTGATTGCGTTTCCGGTGGAATCCCGTGGCATCCGGCGCCCGCCCATATCCCGTTGTGAACAGGTTTTCCCCCCCCAAGTCTCCACAGGATGCGCACAAGCGTCCAACGGTGCATGCGCACAAAGAGGCCCCCTCCCACTGCAGCCAGGCTTGCCGCCTCTGGAGGGTCGCTATGGCCACTGTCGCGCAGGCAGTTAGAGCGGCTGTGACGAGCGGGCCCGCCTCCCCCTCCATTGGCTATGCCTCGGAGCTCTGTTGGGGTCCGGAAGCGTCTGTCGTCCTCTCCGGTAAGCCCACCACCCGCCTTCGGATGTGCAGATACAATTGTTCAGTCATGTGTATGCACAAACTTCAGTTAAAAAAAAAAACACATCCCATTTGCCACGGAAGTGGCGCCTAGTGATTGCTGGTGTGATCGCGCCGCGCCGCTTCTTTGCCACGCTGCAGGATGGTCGTGTGATCGGCACCTTCCCCCTAAACATGGGACCTCGACGGGACATCTGATCACGCAACTGCGCATTATTTTGCTGCGGAGTAAACCCCTTCTCCGTATGCACATCATCATTTTCCTGCCCGTGTGACCGGGGCCATGATAAACTTTCTGAGGCTGCTGCCACACGGTGTCCTCACTAATTTCACCATCACTGAAAATACAGAGGAATGCACAATGGCAATGTTGCATTTGTTGGTGCAGCTTTTGGCACAGTCTCCTCTAACTTTCACCTCAGTTTATCCCTTCCACATGTGCAACCATATGGGTTCTCAGTGACATGGTCCAATACTCCCTCTATGCTGTGGAGTCTTGTGAGCAAAAATTCCACTTTGTGAGCGACTGGCATTAAAGTTGTGAGCAAGCAATTTGGCTGCTGTATAAATTAGTCTGCTCTGGAGCCATCCTTTCTGAGCGGAGACAAAAACATCTGAGCTGGAGGCTAAAAAACTGTGAGCTAGCTCACACTAACTCAGCTTAGAGGGAACACTGACATGGTCATCAGAGCTGCTGTTGCAACTTGCTGCCCCTTTATTGTTTTTGTTTTCTTCATGCATGTGCTATAGTACAATAACACTGTATTAAAATTTGGAATTGAAATAGATAAGTGACAATAGACTATTACCGAGTTATAACATGATAACGCTACAACATTATTGCCATTATAGCTCTCAAAAACCCTCCAGTGCTGTGTCATGGGGGGGAAAGTTGGGGAAATGACACCCACAAAGAACTGGCTGGTGAAAAATAGTCCGCAAAAAGAAGAAACTGTGAGGTAACAGCGCTAGAAAATATTTCAATAAACAATCACAAAATATATACAAAAATGTGTACAAAAATCATATAAATGCACAAGGCAGTTGAAAATGGTGTGACGATGGTCTCCGGGATGTTCTATCGTTTCGATACTATTCTTCTTCCGAAAGTGGATGAAAGCATACGGCAAAGTGCTTGTATAATGCCCTAGGAACATTCTTTCAGAGAATTTCTTGCAACTAAGTTATGAGACATCGGTGAATAATAATGAAATTTTTGATACCTACTTGTTGAAATGACAGACCAAGAGTCGCTGTATGCTTTCATCCACTTTCGGAAGAAGAATAGTATCGAAACAATAGAACATTCCGGAGACCATCGTCACACCATTTTCAACTGCCTTGTGCATTTATATAATTTTTGTACACATTTTTGTATATATTTTGTGATAGTTTATTGAAATATTTTCTAGCGCTGTTACCTCAGTTTCTTCTTTTTGCGGTCTGTTCTGTGACTGTGACCATCATTTTTGAGCCACATTCCATTGGTGAAAAATAGTGCCAATGCAGGCAGGACCTTTGCAGGGGAGAGAAATGCAGAGCAATCCTTTCAGATGGGCTACTAACACGCTTGAACTGCATCCTTTCCAAAACGATGAGAGCAAAACAGGTTTTGGAAAAAGTTTGGTGTAGTGGACAGAGTGTTGGCCTAAGATCATGGAGACCCAGGTTCAAATTCCCCACTCTGCCATAGAAACTTACTGGGTGACAGTCATGCACCAGGGTTGCCAAGTCCATCTTCCACTCCCAGCAGGGGACTTTGGGGGTGTTCCTGGATGGGATGGGGCATCCCCGACGTGATGACGTCACGTTGGGGATGTCCACCGCCCCCCCCCCCCGCCCGTG